CCCGCCCTCCATTCACCCTTCCCGTCGCCCCCGCCACGCCCTCCTCCCTCGAGTGCCCCGCCCTCCTCCCGCCTTTGCCCCCGGCCCCGCCCTCCCCGTGGCAAATTCCCCCCCCAACGCCGCCGCGCTTCTGCGCACGCGTGACCCCTCCCGCGCGCGGCACCTGGGAGGATTGGACCCCTCCTCTATGGGGCGGCGGCCGTTACCGGTTGGCGCGAGCTAGTCAGCGGGCGTGCGTCCCGCCCAGAGCTTCTAGGGCGGGTGCTCAGACCAGGAGAGCTAGCAGCGAGGCAGTGACGCCGCCGAGGGCCAGCCAATGGGCAGCGGGCGGGCCGGCCCTGGCGGTTCGAACGCTAAGGCAGGGAAAGGGCGGGAGGGGAGAGCCAGCAGTTTGTGGGAGGGCGCGCCAGCCCCGCCTCTGGGCTCGGGTTCCCACCTTCCCTTATCCACCAGAGACTTCCCGCGTGGGGCTGGGGTGGCCGGCGGCACACTAATGACGGTGGTTGGCTAGTGGGCACATCTCCTAGATGCGGACAACCCGGGAGGGTATGGGAGCCTCATGCCACCTAGACTCCAGGGGATGGCCTAATGGGGAGAAAAGCTGAAGCCCTTGCCCTGCAGAGCACAAATACTTGGCAGAGTGGACAGTTCCCATTTCTACAGATTTGGGCAATCGCTAATAAAACCTTTATTAAAAGACAAAACAAAACAAAAAAAACTGTTCTTTATTTGATAGACCCAGGTCATACGGCACCCCTTCCCCCCACCCCCCAATAAAGCATCCCTCAGCTGCCCCATCCCCATCCCTAAACACACACACAGGATCTGGATCAGTCTTCATTTCCTGTTAGCCTGGGCCGTACCAATAACACACTGGTTCACCTGCGGACAGGGAGGTTTAGACAAGACAAAAACGTTTTCAGAGTAGCCAAAAGTACAGTTTTTCTCCAAGATCACCTCCCACTCCCAATATTAGGGCTGCCCTCAGAAAATACTGAAACCAAGGGCTCTGAAGGCAGGTACAGGCCTCAGTTATGGTTAGTTCTATGCCCATTGACCACACAAAGTCAAAGAGTAGGTGAAAAGGCTTGAGAAGGACAGAAGCCACACACAGGAGCAGAGAGAGATGAAGTGTCCATTTCCAGCAATTTCGTGGCCCAGAGACCCAAGCCCTCCTAATACGCTAGATAAAACATGAACAACACTCATTTAGGAATCAAGGCTCCTCAGAAAAATGATCCCAAGTCTAGGGCAGGATTTGTACAAAGTGAATCTAGAATAAAGACTACTTGGGTCCTGTCTAAAGGGCACAGGAGCCAACTTAAAGGAGCTCCCACTGGGCAAAGATGGAGCAATTTGAGCATCAGAAAGAATAATGACTACAAAGGATAGATATCAATACATAAGCATCTGTAAAATGATACTCCCCCACCCCCCATAAAAACTCACTTGGTTACCTTTGGAAGTTGCCAAGATATCAACTTCTAATACTAGAAATCGATAAAGAATCTAGCATGTATCCTGCATTTCCTATATGTGCAGAATTTCAGAGTAACCAAATAATACATGGTAAAGGAAAGTACTTTCTAGAAGAAATGTGACTACTACGTGTAGAATGGGAAAATTAAACTCCCTAATGAAATAGAAGATCTATGGCACAAAAACAGACACATAGACCAATGGAATAGAATAGAAACCCCAGAACTAGACCCACAAACGTATGGCCAACTCATCTTTGACAAAGCAGGAAAGAACATCCAATGGAAAAAAGACAGTCTCTTTAACAAATGGTGCTGGGAGAACTGGACAGCAACATGCAGAAGGCTGAAACTAGACCACTTTCTCGCACCATTCACAAAAATAGACTCAAAATGGATAAAGGACCTGAATGTGAGACAGGAAACCATCAAAACCTTAGAGGAGAAAGCAGGAAAAGACCTCTCTGACCTCAGCCGTAGCAATCTCTTACTCGACACATCCCCAAAGGCAAGGGAATTAA